GTCACCATCTGCAGTGATCCTGGAGCCCAAGAAAGTAAAACCTGTCACTGCCTCCATATCTTCCCCTTCTATTTGCCAGGAGGTGATGGGACCAGTGGCCGTGATCTTTATTTGTTTATGCTGAGCTTCAGACTGTTTTTTGTGCTCTCCTCCTTCACCCTCATTAAGGGCCCCTCCTATGCCCGCACTGCCCCACCCACACCTGCACATGTGCACATACGGCCCCTCCCACGTATGTACCCATGGACGCCCTCCACCCCCCGCTAAACTTGTCCGTGGAGGCAAAAAGGTTGGGGACCACTGTGTTAGGGTCACTGTAAGTTGTTTCCAACCTGACAGCATGTAACACACCACACAGAGAATCTCATAGATTAAATAGGATTTTGGGAGCCTGTATTACTAAAGAACTTAACAGATACTTTATTATTATTAACAGATACTTATTATTTATTATTAACAAATACTTTATTCAAAGACTTAAGCAAAATAAAACTTGTTATAATTATGACGTAAGACTCCTTCCTTTTGCTGGAATGACTTCCTATAAATTAAAATCAAACAATAATTTTACAGAACTGAAGAGAAAGATGAGTCAATCCTAAGGGTTATTAGCCACGGCAGACACCAATATGTAAAACACCTACCTTTTCCAGCATTTCTAGGTGGAAGCGGAGGAGCATCCGTTCCTGTTGGAGATGTTGTGGAGTCTGTGGTTGTGGAGACAAAAATCTGATTTGGGAAGGCTCCATAGGAGAGTCTCTGTTTGTCTCTTGGAGTGCTAAGACCAGGAAGAGCCATTTTGTCTTGGGGAGAAATACTGGAATGGCAAAAGCTTTGAGGTCTTGGAGAACGTTCCTTCTTTATTGGACTTGGCTGTGGGAAAATAATACATTTATTACAGTGAGTGCTATTTAGTTGCTAAGGCAGTACCATAGTAGAGAAGTAACTATTACAGAACAAACCTATTTTCATCAAAAGCAACACACATGCCATCACCTGTACGACTCATTTCACAAAAATCTGATTACAGACTTCTCTCTACCTTGTCATCCAAGTCATCGTCACTTTCATCCATTTCTTCCTGCCGAAGATTCCACTCATACTCGACATGCACGTGTGGATTTAGGATTCCTTCTTTGGCCTGGGAAAGCTGAAAAGACAATTTCAAATATTTAAAATTTGGGATTGCAAAAAGCTTATTTTATTCTTTTGAATGCAGATTTAATACCTTTTAATTCATTCTTTTTCTGATTTATTATACTAAAAAAAGACCGGAGTTTCAAGCAAGTGAAGAAAATATGAGAGTAAATGGTTAATACTTGTCTAAAACAATATAAAATAAAAAACATGGTCACTAGTGTGAAACCAGCACCCCTGTGAGCAACAGGAAACGGGGGAACGTTTAATTGACGTTTTGAGCAAACATGCATGTGTATGCGCTGAGGCTACATGGAGCTGGAAAAATGTAAAATATGGTCCTGCTCTTTAGTAAGAGAATCCATACACAGATTCACATCTGGCATAAATCTCTCTCTTTTTTTAAGGACTTAGAATTCTGGTCCAACACAGGCTACTCCACAGGAGAGAGGAGACGGGAGATTTGTTGCTGTTGATCTCTCCAATTCCCCATCATGTGCCTCCTTTTATGCTGTTTAGAAATATATTCCCATGTATGGGAGCAGACCTTAGGGGCATAAGGTGTACTGGCAGAAACTATTTCTTCCTCCATGCTTTCCATTGGCAGTGTAACCCCACACATGCATCTCATAACCCCTGTATTGTACTGCCTTACACAATTAGAAGAATTCCCATCTCTCCCCCCCCCCCTTACCAGTTCTTCACATTGGGTAGATTTCAGTCTCTTTGCTATGTCCATCGCTGTTTCTCCAGCATGGTTTACTGTACAATTTAAATATGAAGATATCACTCAAACTGTGCTGAACCAATATTATAATGAAACAAATCATTCTGGGAAGGTTCATGACCTCCCCGCAACCTCCCACCTTCATTACTTTCCCCAGAGCAATGCAGAGAAATGTTCATGCTTCAAAAGATCAACTTTTATTAGCAATGATCCAATGAGATCCCTCTTAACAACTTCTGGTAATAACTCGCCTTCTCTCTCTCCAATGCAGAGAGGAAGGGATTCCACAAACTCTTTCTCCATTTCTGCCCATTTAAGTCACCATCCACTGTGATGGCCCCTTCCCTTCCACCCTTGGCCTTGGGTGGCGTCTGGTGGCCAGAATCCTGCCAACAGGGGTCGGATTCCTTTCTCCATTACTCATCTTCTCTTCCTGCCAACATGTGCCCAACCTTGAGATTTCCCTTAGGGTTTCTGACCAGTTACGGAAAGGCGGTTCCATGGAGTCTTGGGTGTTTTTCCTCTCTACCTTGCTGAGTCTGTTGCTGTTCTCTCTTTGTCTCTCCACAGTATGAAGGTTTCTCTGGGGACAAGGATTTCTCCTCCTCTCCACTTCTTCATAGGGTACCTTCAGTCGTTCCCACTCCCCCTGTCCTGGGCTTCTCTAGCACAACCCCCTCCCATCCTTCAGGGAGTTCTCCTGTGGCTTTTTACTCTCTGACCAGCCAACGTCTTTTGCCCTCTTTCTCTCTGTTTCCCTTTTATACATTTCTACTCCTCCTCCGCCCATTCTTTTCCTTTCCTTTGTTTCCCACCATTTCCCCCCTTTTCTGGGGAATCTGTCTTTTCCTCTGTTTCTCCCTTGTCCCTCCTCCAGACTTGGACAGGGGCATCCCCGGTTGTCCCTCCTCCTTCCAGGGCAGTGGGCAAGACACATGGGCATGGCTGTATCGGACTTCTGCCCCTTCCTCGCAAGAACAACACAGGACAGAATCCTCTTGAATAGTCAGGCCAATGGAAGCAAAATGGTGTTAACTTCCAGCAGCAAACTGCTCCCAATTACCCAGCCCATTTGGATCTGTCACTGCATGCCAGGTGGATCACTTGCCACATGACTTGGAATCCAAGCAGGGTCTTGTTAATCAGTAGCAACTTGCCACTGCAGTTACGTCATTTCCCTTCTGCTAGTGTAAGGATGCAACAGGATTTTGGACGTTGAAAAGAAAAATCAGACTACTGACATGTAGACCAAAAATAATCTTGGCGCACAGGAAGAGCAAGAGCAATTCAAGATGAGAAAGTCATTCCAGCAAAACCTTGTTTTGCCTGACACCTGATGGTAAGAAAGGGACTTCTCATTGTTTTGCAAGCAGTGTAGAGGTATAATGATTAGCAGCAGAGATCTGCCCTTCTTGGGTCCTGGAAGAAGTGAAATGATATTGGGGGAGCTTACTAGTTTGTGGAAAGTACTATACTGTTTGGGAAAACTACCCTAAATTATATTCTACTGTCACCTCTCAGTTATAAATCTTCCAATTTATGAATGTTTAGACAAAAACCTTTTCGAATCTAAATATTCTGAAAAGCTTTCAAAATAAACGAAAATGTAAACGCTGCTCTACATTTTCATTGTCTGGGAAAGCATGTATAAAATGCTCATTTAAACAAGCTGTCAAAGGCCATGCATATGAAAGACGAAGCAAATCAGTATCAGGAATTGCCAAGAGATTTGTACCAAATAAGGTTTTTTAAATTAATTCGAAGAAATTTTTATTTACTCTGTGTCTAAGTTGAAATATTTCTGCAGTGAATTCTAATCCCCTGTTTAAAGCTTATATATTTGCAAAACTTTCTTTACTGAATATTCAAAATATTCCAGAGACAAACTTGCTTACCTATATCTATGACTGATTTGCTCTTCAACACCAATTTCAAACATTCAGGTTTATTATATATACTGCAATAATGCAGGGCTGTATTCCCCAACGTTGTTTGTTTATCCAAGTATCCACTAAAAATCAAAGATGAAAAACTCTGTTAGTACCCTACGGTACATAAGTACTTTGTACTGTTTTTGCTGAATATAAATATACTTCATCCTATAGTGTCAAAAGCCTATAAACAACCAGACACCCAATATGGTGCAGTGGACAGAGTGATGGACTAGGATGCAGGAGGCCTGGGTTCAAATCTCTGCTCACCTATTAAAAAACTATAAACAGCTGAGAAAAGAAACACTGCTAGTAGTTTTTCTGGTCTTTAGAGTACTGGAAATAGTTTTAAGCAGTCTCATAGTGGAAGCCATTTTGTTCCAATTTCAGCCACAAACATTCTTTCACCACTTCTGTTTTGTGATAGGTGGAATACTACACTACAAAATTTTATTGTCCCCTTGAAATTTACAGATATCAATACATTTCTATTTTTCTACCATAACTGTAAGGGTAAGAAAGTCACAACAGCTGCTAGAAAAAGATCACAAACTTTGCAGGGATGGAAGAATTTTATCTGTTTATCTATTCATCCATCCATCCAATATCCTGCTTTTCTCCCTTACATGATCCAAGGCATTTTACAACAGGAGCTTTTTTTGCCTGTTTTTGCCTTTGGAAGGAGAGTCTGTAGCCTGGGAACAGCCATAGAGGAGGACCTCTCTTTTAGCCTTACCAAATATGAATGAGAGCATAAACAGACAGAAAGAAAACCTTAAATCCTCCTGGGGATGAAGACTCAAAGGTGCATAAGTAAAGAAATTATTTTAGGAGCACTGCAAAGTTGTGATTTACCCTGAATGATGTACTAAGCAAACAAAGAATTGGCAGAAGCTTCAATGACTTCCTTCCTCCATCTTCAGATCTAGAATTAGTTCCTATGCACTTGTGAATGTATGGGGGGTGTCCCAATCCAAAATGCATGTTTAACATAACATGTAGATTGACCCTAAAAAGTCTAGACACTGAAAACAGCAAACAGCATTATACAAAAGTGCTTAAAGGCACACTACAATACTGCTTTAATGCAGAGCAGTGGTGCAGCCATATTTGGAATAAGATAGAAAAATCTGGTTGTCCCTTCAAAATGGCTAGTGTACAACTTGAAGATATTTTACAAAGGGGAAGCAAAATGATCATTGAGGAAGTAGATAAAATGTTGTTCCCCTCTCTCTTGTTAGAACTCGGGATCGCCAAATGAAGTTGATAGGCAATACATTTCAGGCAATTAAAATATTTTCTAATGAGGAACTCATTGCCATATAATCATTTATTCATTCTATTTATAAATAAATGAAATGTAAGCTATATTGAGCTTTTAGGAGAAGGATATAAGTAAAATGGGTAAATGAGAAGATGATACAACAACGGTTTCAAATGTTTTCAAAAGGAGTAAAACTCATCAAGTACAGTTTTATCAACAGCTACTGAAAACAAAAACAAGACGACATTCTGTCTTCACAGCCAGTGTATAGTTTTCTCCGAAACAGCACAGAAAGAGGAATGTTGGGCTGGAGAGATGTGGCATGGCTTTTAGCACTTTAGTTTGAGAAAGGTGAGGTAGTACATATCATTATTATTTCAACACTTTGCAGAGTAATTCAATTACGACAAGTCAGGATACCAGCTTATGGTCTTTACCAGTTTTGAACAAGGAAGTCAACCACAGGGAGTGAAGTCTGGTCAGCAGTCCGGATTGCTACATGAAGGGCTGTTTCACCTGGTTCCTAAAGGACAAACCAAAACAGCCGAACAAAACAAAGTAAACTGAACAAAACTGTAGCATTAAGGACTTAAGACTTCTTTTCATTCAGATAAAAACATGCTAGCATGGAAAGGATGTGTCCCTTACAGACATGCTTGTATGTGATTGTGAACTATGCAGCTCTCAATATCAATAGCTGGTTTCAACACTAACGGAGCCATATTCCTTCAATCTTTTAAAAACCTTCAATACTGTGGCCTCATCCTTATGTGGTCATTTCCTCCACCCTCAACGGCCATTTAGGACAACTACACTTCACTGCCTGCCTAACCATTGTTATCAGCAGAATTCCCAGCGTCAAAGTTTGCAACATGGTCTCAGAACAAGGATAGACAGCATTACGAATTGCCGACAGAACCAAGGCAAGACTCTTCTGAGGCTTGGGTCAATGTCCAGGAATTGTACTGAAGGGCTAAAATGGTTATTATAATTAAGATAAAGCATCCATTTTAATCTGATCTGAGACAAAAGCAAAAAAGTATAGTTCTGAATAGCAGTTCTCATAAACTTGCACCACTACATTGCCTGGAATTATTATGAATTACAGTCCAACATCTGAAGGGCCACACTTTCCTCCCCTGCTTTATAGGATAGTGTGGCTTGCTCTGGGGAATCATCCTTTTCAGACCACTTGTCAGATAAGTCTTACCTGTCCAGGATCCAGCAATGGTTCCATTAGTTCAACTCCTTCTATATAGACTTGAAGTAGTGCAAGTAAATCCCTGGATTTGACAGCCTCAAGTAGTTCATTCAGTTTAGCTGCTGCAGAGAGGCAAGTCTTTCTGCAGAACTTACGTTCAACATATTTAGCAATAATAAATTCTTTACGAACAGACCTGAAAAAAGAAGGGAAAATTTATTCCTAGAAAGCCACTAAGCACTGTCACACTACTTTTAAATCAATCAACAAAGTCCATTTTCAACTTGAGGCCACAGATTAAATTATCAGGACATGTATATGAGGAACAAATCAGCTATAATGTTTTCAAGTATCTTCCACAGCCTCCTTGCTGTACTAGGAATGGCCCCTACCCCTATCAAGCCCATTCCTTTTGTAGGTGTCAAAATACAAGGAAGTAGCCAATTTCTGGTCACTTATTACAGATGGGCTGTCACTCCGGAATCCAAGACAGGACTGCTCTACCAAAAGAAGCATCTCTTTGAGCTCTCAAATCAAGTCTATAATGATTTACAAAGGTCAGAAGTTGAGACCATGTTGATGCTCCACAACTGTTCTATATATCAACCCCTCTCATGAATGCTATTGTAAAAACCATTGATGTTGTTGAAGGACCTTTGATATCTGAGCCAATTTTATCGTATTAACCACTCATTTAACAACTGTGGAAAACTATTTTTTAGGACTTTAATAATATGCAAAGAGTCTAGATGTTTTTCTACACTCTTGTTTTTGATGAATAGAAGGACAGGAGAGAGGGCCTTCTCTGTTGCTCTCTTCACATCTAACATCCTTTCTAAGCCATTTTGTGGTGATGCATAAAAGGTTTGTAATATCAGTGGCTGAGACATGAGAACTGATGACACTATTTTTGAGAGCAAGCGTATGTCCGTATATATATCTTTGCTAAATTAAATATATGGTGGATCATCTCTCAATGCAGAAATCTCACTTGCTTTTCTTACAGCAGTAAGGAATGCTATTTGGAAAGTCATGGGTTTAAATTGATTTTTCATTAGCTGTGTCAACACTAAAGCCAGAGACAGTGCTTGCGGAGGCTTCGTATCAGAGTAAGTATTTTTCAAACTCTTTAACAATTTCTTAGAGTTGGATCTCTACACAGCAGTGAGGATGGGTGATTTTCAGGTTGATGGGCTACTATTGCAGCCATGTACACCTTCAAAGATGAAACTGACAATCCCAATCGCTGTACATGAAGAAGAAATTTAAGAGTAGTCTGTAGTGAAACTGGATTGCTATTCTCATTAACTGCAGGATTCTCATTAACTACTTATGCATATTCCATACATTTCTTCCACTGGTATTTATTTATTTATTAGATTTATATACCCTTATGCATATTCCATACACTTCTTCCACTGGTATTTATTTATTAGATTTATATACCACCCATATAGAACGTGTCTACTCTGGGTGGTATATAAACCACACACAATCACACAAGTCACAAAATTGTTTAGTAGATGGATTTCTTGCTTGCTGCAGAATACGCTTTATCGGTGACTTATTCTCCACGAAGACAACTTCAGTTGTTCTATATCTAGGTGGCGCATTGATTCCTTCTGACGTTAGGTTGTGATACATTGGCAATTTCATTCTGTCTTTTGCCATCAGCAACAGAATAGTGAACCATGGCTGGTGTTATCAGAATTACATCTGATTCGTCTTGTTTGATCTTTAGTATTCTACAATGAATCATTGGAAATGGGGGAAACATATCCATCAGGCATCCTTTGCAAGTGACTGCGAAGATATCTCCCAAATAATGTTTCCCTTTGTTTCCCCAAGAACACTACATCCTGCATGTTCTGTTGTAAGAAGCAAATACATCCACTTTCGGCTTTCCCCATCTGTCTTCCAGTACTGCATACTGTTGAGACAGTTCCCACTCGTGTGTCTGTGATTCAATTTTGTTGATTCAGGGAGCCTACGCCTTTAATATATACTTAACTTTTAAGAACTTTGATATTTTAGCATTTTCTGCTAAATATTTCTCAGCAATGTAGATAAATTGCATACTGTTGAGACAGTTCCCACTCATGTTGATTCAGGGAGCCTACGCCTTTTATATATACTTAATTTTTAAGAACTCTGATATTTCAGCATTTTTTGCTAAATATTTCTCAGCAATGTAGATAAACTAAATCTGTAAAATTAGACAAGCTGATGTTGCCTGGAATTATTGCAACAATGAAAAAAACTTAATAGATGAATATTGATACGATTGTAAAAATGGTCTGATCTCATTCCGGAACAAATGGCTCGGATTCAACCTATCTAAAAGACCACATCTCTGTCTATGTGCCTGCTAAGCATTAAGATCATCAAGGGAGGCCTTTCTCTCATTCCCTCCACCTTCACAGGAGCACTTAGTAGGGGAACGGGAGAGGGCCTTCTCTGCCCCAAGACTCTTGAACTCCCTCCCACAGGAGGCCAGGCTGGCCCCATCTTTGCTCTCCTTCCACAAGCAGGTTTATCCTTAATGACTGATGGTCTGAGAGAGCTTATTTACACTGAGTGTTGTACTAGGTGGTTTTGAATGTGTTTAGCACTGATTTTACTTACAGCTTTTAATATAATATTTGTTTCATTTCTTTTCAATATTTGTATACTTACTGTTTTTAAGGTAAAGGTAAAGGTAAAGGTTCCCCTTGACAATTTTTGTCCAGTCGTGTTCGAATCTAGGGGGCGGTGCTCATCCCCGTTTCCAAGCCATAGAGCCAGCGTTTTGTCCGAAGACAATCTTCCGTGGTCACATGGCCAGTGCGACTTGGACACTGAACACTGTTACCTTCCCACCGAGGTGGTACCTATTTATCTACTCGCATTTGCATGCTTTTTAACCGCTAGGTTGGCGGGAGCTGGGACAAACGACAGGGGCTCACTCCGTCGCGTGGATTCGATCTTACGACTGCTTGGTCTTCTGACCCTGCAGCACAGAGGCTTCTGCGGTTTAGCCCACAGCCCCACCACGTCCCTTTACTGTTTTTAGCTTTTGAATATTGTTTTTTTAAATGATGTAAGCTGCCTTAGGTCCTTTTTAAGGAGAAAGGCAGGATAAAAATATTTTAAATAAGAATAAAAAATTAACCCTAAATGGGATAATGACAGCTACAACAAAAAAGGCTTCTGATTCACCCCCCGACCCCCAAATAGAGGTCTATAAAGTTCTACAGGGCTCTTAGGAGGATGTTCAGGTGTCAGATTTTCTGACCTGAAAAATGGCATTCAATAACAAAACTAGATTTTGTGAAGTATATCATCTGAAGTCTTGTCTAACTGAGGTCTGTATCCACAAAGTTATTATTTTTGTTTTATTCTGTCTTTCTTGCTAAAAAACAGAACACATATCTCATGAAAATTTTGCCCAAATATAATATTCTTTCATGACTTACATATCACTCGATGGAGTAGGTTTTGGAGAAGGACTTGGCAAGTTGCCCTCCATAAGTTCATTAAAAATATTGTTTCCTATGTTCTTGACCAACTGTAAAAAAAATAGAGGGGGAAGCAACGCAATTAAGAATCTGCTTTCAGACTGCAGTCTTAGACACATAATGTTTGAAATACAGTGGATGTTTCCATGTTATGATAAAGGCTGCTTCCGTTCCAAGTAAATTGAAACATCTAAAAAGGAACAATACAAGCCTTCTAAGAAACTGTTTCCTCTAAAATTCTGCTCTAATCTATGGTCACCAATAATTTCACATTGAAACAAAGAAGTGCAGAAATCAGAGTAAGTCTACTCCTACCACTGTCTTTACAGTGACCTGCAGGATCACACAGAAGTCTTTTCCAACACTAGAGATGATGGGGACTGAGCTTGGGCCCTTCTCCATGTAATTATTATTCTTTATCAGCAACCAAACAAGTTTATTAGTTCTAAGGCAAGGGAATCTTAATTTCTTTGTAATGTTCCTTACCAAGAGTTCAGATGTTCCTAATTTGTCTAGCTCTAAAGACTGTATTCGAGAGACATGAACACCCATTTCTCTATGTATTCCAGAACATTCTATGCAGGTTAAAATACCCAGGTTAGTTGAAAGCCATGTTGGATCTGAACAAAACAGAACAAAACATTAGAAAAAATGTTATTTTAATTTTAATTCACAGTAGTGCTTATGGATATTGCATTGTAGCAGTAAAATTACTACTGATACTTTTGCTAAAACTGTAAATTTCTGTGCCTCTGCATTTCCCACAAACAAATGTGTCAGAAAAGTAATTTCCATGTCAACTAAAATTCATTGATAAAAATACCTGGTGATCCACAGTCACAGCAGACATCATTTCCAGGTAACCTCTGGATGTCATCAATAATGGCTTTTGTAAGATCATCTAAACTATTGTCTCCTGTGTTCTCTTCTCCACGGAATGCCATATTTAAAGCCTCTTCTTTACTATTGGTCAATACTGATATCCATCTAATATAAAATATAAATGTTTTTAATGTTTTAGTTAAGCTGTGACATTTTTCTCTTTCTCCCTCAGTTTGACTAGAAAACAGGTCTTTCAAGTCTAGGCTGCGGGGCGTGTGTGTGTCAGGAGTCACCTGCTTGTCCCAATCTAAGAGTGAGGACTCTATAAGAGGAAGAGTAAAGCAAAAGATGAACTTAAATCCGGTTCTGCTTTTGAAGATTTCCTATGCCATGAGAGAGACTGTGATCAAAGTGGCTGGTTTCACATGTCAGAACTCAGTTGACAGTGAATCATTCTACAAGGCACAGGAGGGGCATGACTCATTGCACATCAGGCCAAAAAGGAATATGATTTCTATCTTATGGATTGTACTAAATCTGTTCTACTATGAATGCTTTAAGGTATATGATTCATCATTGATATAATATTCAAAGGAACAAATCAAGCACATACATTTGCATGCATTAGAAGTCATATTTTTTCAACAAGGAAGTGTTCAGAAAGTTAGGAAATTGGACTTTTACAACCTAGATAACTAATGCTCAAATGAGGTGTAATTAGGTGAGCACAACTATAGCCATTCATAGTGCAACCAAATCTGTTATGTTCCATAGATGAACAAAATTAAATTGTAGCCTTAAGTCAAGAAATAAAAACATGCTTACGCTACATAGTCTTGCTCATCTTCTGCTTGAAAGTGGTACGTTCTGTTATCTGGAACAGAAATGTGTAAATGTTCAAATAATGAACATAACCTAAGGGCTTTTACTTTTTTTGTTTTTGTTTCAAGATTTCAAGACTCAAATTAGAAAAAAAATATTTAGTATCTTTGAACATATATTGGACTGTGTCAAGAAATGTTCAATATCTCTGTTTCAGTAGAAAATATTCTGATCACTTTAAAAAGAATAGTTCTCAACATCTTCATATAAAATATCTATAGTGGGGGATGCTTAGTAATTATACAACTTAAAATAGCTATCCATGACAACCCAATGCAAATCATGATGAACATGCCAATTAACTTTAAATGTAACATACGTGATATCAGGTCAAACGATTTCTTGTCTTCAGCATTTGGTTTCACCTGGCAGGTTAGTAAATACAACTTAGCAGGCTGCCTGTTTGACTAAAAAAAGAAGATCTTGTTCTAGTTATAACATTCTTGATTTGGCAACATTAAAGGATTGTTCAGTTCTGCTGTTCTAAGATATATCATTATATTTTAATAATGTATTTTAAACTCAGTGATGTATTCATGTGTTGCGGAACACAAAACTGTACCTTTAGCTTAGTTAGTCCACAATGTATTCATCTTCAGGTTAAGTCATTCATAATTGTGGAAATATTTAGAAGAACGAACTTCTTTTTAAAAAATGGAAGAAAACCAACTTTTGGTTAAAATGCAAAGCAACACATGCTTATGACATACTGTTTTTCTCTTTAGAGACATGTCTGTTTTCATCTCTGTTAGGTTCCACTGTGAGTATTTAAGCACACATTACACAAAACTGCAGAATTTATAATCCGCTCATCCTCACAAGGAAATATCACTACCAGAGGAAAGGGGGTGCCCACTGCAATAGCCACCTCAGTCTGTTACATCAACAACAACAAAAACCCAAAAAATCAACCTCATGGCACAATAAATACTAGCAGTATTATCATCTGAAGCCGTAGGCGGTGGTGCACAAAAATTACACCAAATTAAAAAAATGTTAGTCATTAAAATGACACAAGATTCTTTTGCAGTTTTCAGTTCCACAGTCTGGAGTGGAGAAGAGATAGGCAAAGCAAGAGAGACTGTAAAAGAAGGAACTTTATGGGGATTTGATTAAACACATTTGCATGTAAGTGTTAGCGAAGAACTTTAATCTATATCAAATAGTTTTAAAAAGTGAATAACAAGTCATCTCAATGTACTTGCTGTCGGCTATGGAAGGGCAGAAATTTTATTCACTGCTTATGATTTCACTACCATCTGGTTTTTTGACATTGCTTCTTAGTACCAAACCAGTCAACAATGCATCTGTTGACTGCTTGTGGTTTAGAAGGCAAACTCAACACAAGGGGGCAATGTCTACTAAAGGCTGATAACTCTCAGGAAATCTGGCTGTAATGTTCTTTTCCCAGTTCAACCTCCTCTTGTTCCAATGAGGACGTTCTTCTTTCTGCCTCATTCCATATTCTCAGACTCTGCCAAAAATCTAAGTCATAAGTTCAAATCCACATGATGGAATGAGCACCCGTCGCCTGTCCCAGCTCCCACCAACCTAGCGGCTCAAAAGCATGCAAATGCGAGTAGATAAATAGGGACCACCTCGGTGGGAAGGTAAACAGCGTTCCGTGTCTAAATCACACTGGCCATGTGCTGTATCAATATTTTAAATCCTTTTGAAAAATTACCCAATAACCTGCCTAGTTCACAGTAGTTCACAGTGTGTTGAATTATAATCTTGTATCAGAGGGTAAAACTTCTGATCCTCTTATTTCTTTCTTCGTACATTCATATTACAGCACTGTACAACTGAAATTATGAACACATATGAAATACAGGTAAAATGAATAAGAAATTAAAATGTTAAGATAATTTGCCTCTTTTTGACCAGAAGCAAGCTACTTCATGGCCATTTGCTAGATAATTTTTTTTGCACATATATTGTGGGGCATATATTGCATGCACATAAGTGCTGTATTGATTGAATTTCTCTGCAGTCAAGAAAAAAATGTCTGGTATCCAAATGGCCCCATTTTACTTGATTATTCTTTGATCTTCCTACTTCATTTGAAATCTATTAAGTGACTTCCAGGTGTTTCAACTACTGTGTTGTCCTGGTGGGAGACACTCTTCAATATTCATCCATTTAGCAAAGTATGTTGTTTTTTCTCTCCACAGGTTTAGCCCAGCTTCTTCTGTCAGGTTTCATATGTAACATTTTCCCCTAACATTATTTTTGAATTTGACTCATGAAAAGTCTAGTGATTATGTAATATTAAAGATATATTAACATTAATCTGAAACTGAGAGGAAAACGGGGGGAAGGTATTAACATAAGTGACATTTAAATGCAGAAGAGAAAGATAAATTGTAGCTTACTCTTTATTAAGAACTACTGTGGGAGACTTTCTACTTCATCTCATCTATTAGCTTACTATTAGTCTCACTGTTTTTCAGGGAATAAAACATAATTATGTGCTTTACAGATGTCTATACCAAAACATCCGAGTCTAGCAATCAGTGTTCTTGATAGAAGGCTCCACTTAATATGTATTTAAGGTGGATCTTGTTTTAATTGATCTGAAATGTGAAAACCTATAGTGGCAAGAATCTATATTTGCATTAGGTATATCTCTCTGCATTAACAACAATAAGGCGTTAACAGAAGGCAACAGGGGCTAAGGCAGAAATATATAAAATGCTCTAATAATGGACTAAACATTATTAGATTGTACAAATTATCATGCCTCTCTAAAATAAGACAAAACAAATATAAGCAAAAGTTTCAGTGTCCACACATTACAATTTACACAAGGACAGCCATGTTCAATGTGTTTTGAAACCATCTTTCAATTATTTTTGTAGTACTACTTTGTTTTCATTATCTAATTTAAACGTGTGAAGTCTATGCTAAAGGTAAAGGTTCCCCTTGACATTTAGTCCAGTTGTATCTGACTCTAGGGTGCGGTGCTCATCCCCATTTCCAAGCCGTAGAGCCAGCGTTTATCCAAGGACAGTTTCTGTGGTCACGTCACAGGCGCAACTAGACATGGAACGCCATTACTTCACACCATGGTGGCACCTTTTTATCTACTCGCATTTTGGCAGGCACAACTAGACACGGAATGCCGTTGCCTTCACACCATAGTGGCACCTATTTATCTACTCGCATTTTTACATGCTTTCAAACTGCTAGGTTGGAAGGAGCTGGGACAAGCGATGGGAGCTCACTCCGTTCTGTGGATTCGATCTTACGACTGCCGGTCTTCTGACCTTGCAGCACAGAGGCTTCTGTGGTTTAACCCGCAGTGCCACTGCATCCCCGAAGTCTATGGGTTCTTTCAAATTTGCTTTAATCAAAGCACCACAGCTTTCCAGATAGTAAATGCCATGCCTGAAAGCTAATTTCAGAAGAAAGGACAAAGTCTTCATAGTGAGTTCTGGTAACTATTGATCGGTCCATGTGTGCCTAAGCTTAAGAGCTTGGGAGCACCTTCACTTTCTTTTCCCTCTCGTCAGGTTAGCACGCTGCTCCTTCCTAGATAGAGACTGGAAAACCTTATCTTTTTGGACCATAACTCATAGAATTTGGGAGCGGGAGTTGGGTGGCTTCACATGGATGTTGAACTCAAAGTGGGGACTCTTTAATTAGTGGCAATTTGCCACTGCAAGTGGCATCAGTTCCCTTATACTCGCATAATTTAAACAAAAGGACTCTGAGCATAGATTAAAATCTACTTTCAGCTGTGATTTTGGAGTCTGGTTTTGAGATTGTCCTGATCTATGCAAACAACTGTAGCCTTAGTTATCAGTGAAAATGGAAAAGGAGGGGAAAACTGTCAGGAAAAGAGCAAAACATCATGTGAGCCTGAGAGGTGTTCCTGATCCCTCAACCATGGTTAAGAGACTGGGAACATTACCGTGACTCTGAACTCATTAAAACTGGATTTGCGTGATCTCTAAATATGACTGCTCAAGGAGTATAACAAAACCACCTATAAATACTAGCCACAATCTTCCTTTCGAACAATTCTTCTAACTCTGAACACAACGCATATATGACTCCATTTTTAAAAAATGAAGAATACAAAAAATAATTTGCCTAAAAGTCATCTGTCAATTATTATGCCAAATAAATGTGGCCTGGCAGCCAGATGGCTGGTATTATAATAATAATACTAATAATGCTGCTGCTGCTGCTGCTGCTGCTGCTGCTGCTACTACTACTACTACTACATAATACTAATGCTAATATTAACACTAACAACAACAACAACAACAACAACAACCTTCTCCTCAGATATTGTGGGACATAGATCTCAAAAAGAAGCCTAAAAGAGCTAGGGCTAGTTAAGATGTAGTCCCAAAGAGAAACTTCCAAGATAAGCAGAGAATGTGGTTAGGGCACTAACTAGTAGTTCCTGCTAGATTACAAACTTCTTGTTACTACATGTAAAAAGGCAAATCCTATGGATAGTACATCAGATTCTAATGAAACCACAAGCTGAAATACCATTGTCATAACTTTATGCCATACAACTTGGATGATACTATCAGCAATATTCAATTCAATTTACTTGAAAACTTCCTGTTCCCCTTCTTCAAGGTCTAAGGCTCCCTAGGGATCCCTTTTTACCTGGGGAAACCTTCAGGAACACTGGGCTTTTGTACCATTTAGATGTCTATGTAATATCCATCCATGCTTCTTCCCCCCCCCCTTCTCTCTTTTCTGAGAAAAGAAAGCTAATAAGAAAAGCAGCAGTCGCATAGCACTTTAAAGGAGACTAGCAGGAATACCACCCCTTTCCTGAAAAGGAAAGAACAGTTGTTCTATGCTTTTGATCTGCAATGTAAATTATACTTATGCAAAAACTAGAAAAGACCATGATGTTGGGAAAGTGTGAAGGCAAGAGGAGAAGGGGACAACAGAGGACCAGATGGTTGGACAGTGTCATCGAAGCTACCAGCATGAATTTGACCAAACTCCGGGAGGCAGTGGAAGACAAAAGGGCCTGGCATGCTCTGGTCCATGGGGTCACGAAGAGTCGGACACGACTTAATGACTAAACAACAACAAAAAACTAGATTTATGCAAATAAGAGGCAAACTGCCCAGCTGCAGGTAAAGTTAATACAAATTTGAGGGCTTGGAAACATTTCTTTTTTGATGAAAACTTGAGTTCACATAAGTAAACTGAAACAGCTGACCACTACTGCTCCCACTGGGTGATTATTTCAAGTGATGGCAATAGTCATTTGTTTAGCTGTATGTTTATGTTATTATATACACTAACTGGGAAGTGAGATGCAACTGGATTAAGTTCCTTCAATTTCAATGAGATTACTCTTAAGCATGACGAAGTCTCAATCCAAACAAACATTTAATTTTTTTCACATTCATTAAATACAGAAACTAATTTTATTATAAAAGCAGCAATCTGAAAATAAAAAGCTACTTACAGTTGCATGAGAAATGGTCAGGACCCCATTTTTAACAGCACATTTTCTTCTTTGCCAAACCTTTCTTATTCTAAATGTTGGAGGAATGTGACACAATTAAAAAAGGTTCATGAAATGGCAGCTGCAATTACTGAGGGTATTATAAAGATTACACTGAAACCTGTTCCTTCTTCTAATCGATCCATAAATGTCTTACATAACAGAGCTAATTTTCTTAAGGGTAGTAGCAGCAAAGTTTTGATATGCTAAACATCAGAAAATGAAACCTGTTCCTCATGTTTTTGCATGGTAAAATACAATGATAAATATTCTATGTTAACTACCATATATTACCCAATTGTTCAGAATTGGGATTCTTTCATTAGATGCTAACAAAACAATGCAGATGTACGGAATTTTGTGGCTAAATTCCTTCTCTCTGCCCAGAAAACCCAAAAAAGAATCCTGATGTTCAACTAATTTTAAACCTTTTAAATTTACTTTGTGAATTTATACTGTACTTATATTGTATTTTATCGGGCCTTTGGCTGTAGAATAAATTTGTATTGTATTGTGGATATATGAAATTGTTATCAGTGTACTCTCCCCCGACAGAAGTTCAATTCAATAAAGCTAAAATATAAATCTTTGCATTGTTAAGATATATTTCAACATACTTTCTTAATGCTGTATCCAGAAGATTTACTACCCTAAGGCTGTATGTCTTTCTTGATGTGTATTGAGCACCTCTGAGAAAAAAGGATTGCAGAAATTCTCCTTCTTAATTGTCCAGTGACCAATGTATTTTTGTCATGTGGCTTAGCTTCATGCAACATATTCCTTGAAAAAAATATGTTCTCAATCTTAAACCCAGTGGGTGGTTTTGCTTGTGCTTTATTCACAGACAGTGTATATCTCTAGAAGCCCCAATAATTTCATTTTATTATAACACGGCTTAGAAATGGTTGTTGTGAGTTTTTTGGGCTCTTTGGCCATGTTCTGAAGGTTGTTCTTCCTAACGTTTTGCTAGTCTCTGTGGCCGGCATCTTCAGAGAACAGCACAAAAGCCCGAAAAACCCACAACAACCATTAGATCCCAGCCGTGAAAGCCTTCACTAATATACGGCTTAGAAATGTTCCCTGTGATAAAGCTACGAAAAAGAACTATGACATGAATGAATTATTTTTCAGATTATACCCTCAAATAGCATGGGTCTTCTCCCAACAGTTGGGGAAGAAATTAATATTTTCATAATACTGTACATTTTACATTTATATGTGAAATCAACTTTTATGAGAAGCCTAGTCTGCTATGTAAAGATAAAGATTTTGAAACAAAAGAGAACAACTTTCCTCCCCGGACAATCACCAGATATTTGGGTCTAACAAACATCTACACAAATGATTCCATTGATTCTCATTATATCCCATTTATTCCATGTACATTCTAAAATATTGTTTACTGAAATGAAAAACACTTCATCTTGGGTAACAAGGGGTTTTTTTATGTAAGAGTCCAGAACACATTTTATAGCTCTTACTTTTACTGCATACATCAAACACTAAGCTCCTCAACACATACCCATCGCTCTTTTTAAGCAGGTAGCCTGTTTTTTCACTTCCAAACTCCTTGTTCCCTTGAAGTTGGTGCATGCTGTAGCCCCCTCCCTGCTTACTCTGGGAATCCTAGAAGGGGGAAGAGGAGAGATAAAGACATATTTCTCTTTTCAAAATCCTTTTAAAAATTCTTTTGGTTTCATATTAATCCCTTCGTTTATAGGCCCACAAAGAAAAAAACACATGATCATGCTTTGCATAAGACTTCAAATTCTATACGTAGAGCTTTCTTTTAGAAAAAACAACAGCAACACATTTTATGATGTATTGATGAGAAGTGATGGAGGCTTTGAATGAAAGGTTACAGAAAATTTTAGTAAAAAATAAAATAATTCAAAAATATTGTCAACAAATGCTGGTAAGCTGTAGAAGCAGTATGATATGCACATTCAGTACTAATACTGTTCTTATTAAGCTATTTTTTAATCAAGCGACACAATTTGTGTTCATGGTTTTAAACCAGCAGTATGAAATTCAAGATATGTATACAGACACACAAACACACTACTCTAAATATACATTTCATATGTACACATCCACCCTGATGAAAAATACAACAGAAAGGTCTGCAGATGTACCATGAAAACAATGATTCATTAAAGCAATGACTTACTCTCCTAGACTTCGATCAGGAAAGGCAAAGGCAACATAGGAAGAAAAAAGTAGAACATTTAAGACAGTATTATTGCTAAAAGAAGAATATTTGTGTACATTTTGCAGTCTCGTTATTCCAGCAATTTACAGACTATAGAAAAGGTACAGGTGGAATACTTGCTGGGGAATAGACCAATGTAACATAAGTCCTTGTGCAAACAACATTAAAAGGAAAAGGGATAGGAAGTAATAAACCATAGACATTCTATGAAAGATATGTTCTGATAAAGGTGACATGAATTTTGAACCTGAATTTATTTTTACCAATAAATAATTTAGAACTCCCTCCTCTGCTCCCCGTCTTAGTATTTGCACTTCATTTAAGAGAACAGGGCTCAAAGGCTAAAGTGATGCATTTCAATTTCTGTGGGATGAAGTCCAAGAAATAAGAAAGTTCCATGCCAAATGTTCTTGTGTTGAAAACATTGCATTCTTCCATATACATTCAACACATTTTAAATGACTGCAATAAATAAAGGTGGCCCAGGAGTTTAGTCTATAGTCAGTACATATATTTTGCCTGGAATTCTTACCTCCTTGGATTCACAATGTAAAGTCGACTTTATTAAATCTCTCAACGCCGTTAATTGTTTTTTTTCCTCGTCCTGCGTCTGCTTGATCTACAGTAAAAATATTCACGATTACTCCAATTTTAAAAGACCTTATTCACATTTCTAATGGGCATGAATTCACCATGAAGCTTAAATGCAATAAATGTGGGTATCTTTCTCAAACAGGCGTGTCCATTTAAAAAATGTCTTGACCTTTCTGAACACTGAAAACATGGAAAACCTGCCCCAAGATATTCTGCTTTAAATTCTAAGTTAAAGAAATTCCAATTCTGAACTATTTAAGTATCATTTATCCAAAATGCTGGTCAATCTCTCCATGTTTATATTTTTATATAAAATATATTCATATATATAACACCCAAATTTTACTGAGCCAGTCTGCTAAGAGATTATGCTGTTTAAAATTTCTAGATAGGTAGCTAACTACCTCATACAGCTTTATTTTTCAAGTAAATGTAAGAGATGCTTTTAAGAGGACAATTAGAAACAGTTCAGGTTGTTCGGTTATCAACCCATATTCTTCCTAGTAGTCCAAGTAAACTAGCTGTTAATTCAAGGCAGTTTCCCATAATCTCAAGACTCTTAAGGTTTGGGCCTCCCATTGCTAGCATTCCTGATGATTCTGCTCACCATGCTAGCAAAACGAATGGGAGCTGAACTCAGAAATATGTAGGAGAGACCAGGTTGAGTAAGGCTGTTTTATGTGGTCTGAAGGTTGCTAACTCAAACAAGGAGATCTGTGAAAGATAATTTTGTAAATCAAGATGCTTAAGAATCAAATATTTCAAATGGTTGTTGTAGGTTTTTTGGGCTGTTTGGAGGTTTTTCTTCCTAACGATTCATCAGTCTCTGTGGCCGGCATCTTCGGGGGACAGAGTCAGAACTCCTGTCCTCTGAAGATGACGGCCAGAGAGACTGGCGAAACGTTAGGAAGAAAAGCCTCCAGAACACGGCCAAACAGCTTGAAAAACCTACAACAACCACTGGATCCCAGCTGTGAAAGCTTTCAAGAATACAAACATTACAAATGTTTATTCTTTACTGGGTATCCTCAGATTAAAAAAACTAACAAAACAGACAATGTACCTGTCTTATGAATGACTTACATTATAAAGGTCTGCGGCTAATTTTTCTACATACTGTTTCATTTTATCAGCTGTCTTCAAACCATCCTGAAAAAAACTACAAAGAAAAGTCTCATAATTAATGTGCATATTATACGAGATTTTTTTTTCCAAGTCATCAGTAGTTGGGAAATTTATGAACTAAAGCCTAAAGAAGAGAAGACAGAAAGGCTGTACAATACCCAACTCAAAATATTTGAAGGATTGTCATGTGGGTACTGGAATAAGCTTGTCTTCTTCCTCTAGTCTGCACATAGCTGAACCCAAAGTCATGGATTTAAATCATGAAAAAGAGGATTTGCCTAAGGATCAGAAATAACTTTTGGAAAGGAAAAGCAGTTCAACAGTGGAATGATATGCTTTAGGGGGAACATGGACTCTCCTTCATTTGAGAGATCAGACAACCGCCTGTCACTGATACTTTAGGTATGAATTCCTGCTTTAGCAGGGTCTGGAGCTCAAGGGCCATCGGGGAATCTTACAGCTCTGCAGTTTTCTGATTATATTTGTTTCTGAAGTGTTCAAGTATATGAAGCGAATCAACAATGTATTTTATACATTTTACATAGATATACATAGAAAAAACTAAAAATTGATTTTAATGTCAGCATATTTCCTATTCACTCAACACATTTCCCCTCACTTTCTAGAATATGCAAAGCTGTCACATTTTAAAATTAACTTATATGACAATTGAAAAGATAATCAAATTCAATGTTTCATGTGGAAGCCGAAAGAATGAAGCACCATCTACTTCATAGATCTGTTTGCTGAGCCGAAGATAAAATAAATTTGTCTTCCTTTTTTTTTTGATGTAGAAGTATTTTACAATCCTGTGCATTTCCTATAAAAGCAAATGACACCACCAAAACAAGAACAGCATACTCAGTTTTAACTGATATGCCATAGCCAAATAACAATAAAATTATACTTACTTGCACTGAGCATGGTAATATTTTATCAGATTCTGTAGAAGATCTACACCTTTTTTGGTCTTTATCTCATTCACTTTGATAAGGTACTGTAGAAGGAAAAAAAAACCAAACTAAATAAATAACTATTGGGACTGTCAGCTGTGCTCAACGAGATTACACTAACTTTCCCAATTTTTCACACACTGTTGTTCACCTTGTATCTACTACACTCTCCTATACTTTCTAAAACACTTTTCTAACTTCAGTGAATTATGTCAGATAATTTGAAATAAGGTCCTTAAGATATTTCTAAAGCACAGCACTGAAGCAATCATTAAACACATTCAGAACTACAGCTAAACGGTTTTGCATTAAGGCCCAGGCAACTAATAAGCCCCAGGTTTTCCCATGGCAGATCTGCATCCTAAAAATTAACTCTCAACGCCTGCCTGCCATGCCACAAAACATCCAAAAAACCGAACTCAGAAGTGATTGCAAATTCACTTTTGATTTCAAATTGTATATTAAAACACAGTGTCTGATCTAAAAATAAAAAAGAGCTTACCTGTAACTCTGGTTCTTCAAGTGGGGATTTCAAATTGTATATTAAAACACGGTGTCTAATATAAAAATAAAAAAGAGCTTACTTACCTGTAAGGCTGGTTCTTCGAGTGGTCATCTGCGAATTCACACTAATGGGTTTTATCTATGCCTGTGCAGAGCAGCCTCGGAACTTTCTAGCTCGAGCACATGGTGCCGGGACCTCCCACACACTGGCTATAACTCCGACCCCAGCACCAAGTGCCTCAATTCCTTAGAACAGAGGCCCCCAAGCCCTGGTCTGTGGCCTGAGCCAGACCAGGCTGTAGAGACAGACCTCCCCCCCCCCCCCCCCC